CTCGGAGCTCCAACAGGCTGGGCAGTGTCAGGAGCTGCAGAAAAGCCACCCAGGGTTGCTGGACACCTCCTGCAGACCATCTGACCACCTTTTTTGGTTTTTGGCTTCTGTTTTGATTTGTTTTGAGTTTGGTTTTTGTTTTTGAAACAGGGTTTCATGTGGTTCGCTGGCCTTACCACATGGACCTGTTTCTACCTCCTGAGTGCTGGAGTGACAGGAGAGTGTCACCTCTCCTGGTTTACAAGGAGTTACGGGTGGAATCTAGGGTTTCCTACATGCTGGGCAAATGCTCTACCAACGGACCTACACCCCCCCCACCCACTTGTTTGTTTATATGAGATACTGTCTCCTCTATAGCCCAGGCTAGCCTCAAACTCACAATTCTCCCATTTCCTGTCTGGAGCACACTGTTTGGCAGGAGGATGGACCACCACACATAGCTTTTTCTCACTTGGAGCCTGAGCCCAGGCAGGGACCCGACCAAGAGCACCTGTTCTGTCTCCCTTTCCTGTCGGTATATTGCTTCCTGGCCAGGGTAAAGGCTGGCTAGGGTCGGTCCCTCACCTCCTGGACAAGATCCCTGGTGGCATCCAAGAACTTCCTCATGGAATCCTGGGCTTGACCCAGCACAGGCTCCAGGGACGCCTGTGAAGAAGACTGCAAGGATGGCCGAGACCTGGGTGGACTGCTCAGTCATTCCCTGGCCAAGAATGACCTTGGACCCAAGATCCTCCCACACCCACTTCCTGAGCACAGAGCTGGTATGAAGGTGTGCACTCTCCCCACTGAGCCCCACCGAGCACCTGCCACCCCCTTTTACAAATAAGGAATGGGGGGGGTTAAAGGGGACATGGGCTCATTCCAGGCTGACACTGGCGTTCCTCACGCCCGCCTCGCCTCACCCGTTGCAGGATCTTCTCCAGGAGCTCAATCACTGACCCTTGCTTGGTGGGTTGGTTACTCTCCTGTGGCCAGGCTGAGGGGAGGGATGCTAATAGTAGGCAAAGAGAGGCTTGGGGTGCCTCCTCCCCGACCCCCTGCCCGAATTACAGCCCCACAAGATGAGGGTTCCCTGTTCCAGGTCTCTACCTTCGCCTCCAACTTCCCGGAGCACGGGGACCAGTTTCCTCAGAGCAGCCAGCATGTCCTGGGTGCTGTGCCCCCCCAGCGCTGTGCGGGCATCCGCAAGAACCCTTGAGATCCTGGGGAGCAGAGAAGGAATGGGAGGCGGGGCCTCAAGAGTCCATTCACCAGCCAGCCCCCACCTACCAAGTTCACTCACAAGGAGTCCTTAAAGTTGCTCAGGACGCCAGGTTTCTCGCCGGGCGTTGGGTATTGGAAGCAGGAATTGTTTACGTTGCAGACAAGGCCCTGCAGCCAGGGCACCGTGCCCGCCGATGGTAATGGCTTGTTTGGAAAGTGGCCTGGAGGTTGGGGGCGGGGGAGGGGGACACCTGCTCAGAGTCGCTCTCACTTCTGTTATCAGCTCATTAAATGATACAGCCTCCCACCACACCCAGCTCAGACCCAGCACCAAGTAGGGCGGGAGAGGCTTGCCCCTGTCCCACCACACACACAGTGGCTCTCACATTCGTGGTGCTCCAGTGGCGGGTGGGAATGACGAACGGCCACTAGGATGAAGAAGAGGAAGAGGGGCCACAGTAACTCCACTAGTAGTTGGATCTGGGGAGAGAATGTGTAGGAGACTCTGGAGGACCGTGACGGACACCTGCCATCGCCCCCCGCCCTGCATACCGCGGGCGTTACCGGTTGTCTCCGTCGATATGTGTAATTTTTCCACAGTAGGAGCATCAGCTGTGTGCAGAAGGTCATGACGACTCTGGACCGGAAACAGTGGAGAGGATAGGACAAAGAACAGGCTGAGGGTGAGCTGTGTGGCTCCGGACAAATGCCTGCTGGTCTCTGATCATCGCGCTGAGCCGCAGGATTCTCCCGGAAAGAGAGTCCAGCAAACAGAAGGCACCAGGGAAAGAAATTCACTAAGGAAGTGACCAATGGGAACCCGGCGCGCAGCCGTCTTCGTAGCTGATTGGCTGGAAGGGCTAACTCGAAAGGCCGGGGTCTGGAAGACCCTGTTCCGCATACTTAGGGGCGGAGCTCGGGTTGGGGCTCCCGGCTCCACAGTCAGCCTCGTCCTGGACGCGGATCTCGGTTCCGTTTGCCCCAGGTGACCCCCCGGTGAGACCCGCAGCCTGTGTCTTCTGTGCGGACCGTGTCTCATCTCCAGCTGTCCCTCCATTTTTTTTTTTTGTTTGTTTTTTTCGAGACAGGGTTTCTCTGTGCAGCCCTGGCTGTCCTGGAACTCACTCTGTAGACCAGGCTGGCCTTCAACTCAGAAATCCACCTGCCTCTGCCCCCCGAGTGCTGGGATTAAAGGCGTGCGCCACCACCACCCGGCTTGTCCCTCCATTTTTTTTTTTTTTTTTCGAGACAGGGTTTCTCTGTGTAGCCCTGGCTGTCCTGGAACTCACTCTGTAGACCAGGCTAGCCTTGAACTCTCAAACTCAGAAATCCGCCTGCCTCTGCCTCCCAAGTGCTGGGATTAAAGGCGTGTGCCACCACTGCCCGGCATTGTCCCTCCATTTTTAAGAGATGAAAACTGAGGCTCAAAAAGGGGCAAAGTCACGCTTCCAAAGGGGTCAAAAGGATGGGACAGAAGCCCATCTGCTAGAGGAGTCAGGGACAGGCTCCTTGAGCACGCCATTCCTGAGGTCGTCCTTTTATTCCCCCCAGAACTGTCTGCCCGTGGCCTGCTTCATGGTGCACTTAGGGAGACTGAGGGGGACGGAGAAGGAACTGCCAAAGGTGAACCATCTACATGGAAACTGACAGCTTCCATTAGGGGACTTTTTTCTTTCATAAAGTGAAATTTGAGATCTGGGGGACCGGCCTCATTTGGAAAGTGGGGCACTGGAGATGTAGGTTGGCAGAGGTCCCTCGAGGTGACCAGATGACCGCTGTGAGGATCAGTGATCCATTTTACCCATACTCACCGGAAGAAAAAGGGTGAGGGAGAGTAGGGGCTCACCTAGAACCCCAAATTATCAGGGAACGTGGCTCTGCCCACCCTAACCCCACAGCATCCCCAGTTCTCCAGGCTCCACCTTCCGCCCTCTCGAGGATTTTCTCACCGTTCTGAGGCCCCCAAACTCCATTCACCTTCTTTCCTCCCAGCCACGGCGGGGGGGCACGGCCCCTTTAAGAGGAGACCCTCTCAACCGCGGACGACGCCCTTCGCAACCCAGTGCCCCGGCGGCTCCCGGCCCCGCCCCTAACGCCACTATTGGATAATGCACCTGCTACTCGGGCGACTTTGCATTGGAGGAGGCGGGACCACGGCCCTGCGCTCCGAGCCGGGTTTCTTAAAGGAACCGCAGGTTTCTTGCTGTATCAGTTTGGCTTTACTGGGACCCGACAAAGAGGGGGACAGCAGGATGCCCCGCCCACATCAGTCCTCTGTCTCCTCTCCCCAAGGACTCGGTTTTTTAAATTACTTTTTAATTGTGAGACTGACTCACACTGTGATAGGTCTGGAAGTCACTGTTTAGACCAGGCTGGTCCACAGAGATCTGCCTGCCTCTGCCTCCTGAGTGCTGGGATTAAAGGCGTGCACCACCACAAGTAATCTTTGTTATAGAATTTAATTAATTTGTTTATTAGGGTAAGACATATGCATGCTTGGCACATCTGTAGAGGTCAGAGGACCATTTCCTGGAGTCAGATGTTGCCTACCATCATGCGGGGCCTCAGGCAAAGACCAAATTCAGGTCAGATAGACTGATCCCCAGGGCAGAAGTGTTGTGCAAGGTCCTTTATATCCTGTCCCATCTCCTGCCACTAGCCAGACTTGTACCACACAGTGTCTGTGAGCTCACCCTCAGAGTGAAGGGTCACAGGACCCCCCATGCATTCATCTTAAGAACGTCCTCTTGACTAGACAACTTCAGAATCAGGTGGCAGCCCAATATTCCAAGACTAGAATCAATAGTTGCCCAGATTATAGGCAAAATTCCCAGATGTCTCATATTCTGGGGGGAAAAAAACTGGCTTATTTCACAAAGTCACAATGAACATGGAGGGAGGGGTGTGTAGATCCACAGTTCTGAAGGCCCTGGCAAGGGTGAGTTAGAAAGGGGGCCTTAGAGCTGGGGTTTTGAGGATGTATAGGAGTTCGAAGGAATCCAGTGAGAGAGACTCAGCCTTTTCCTCCACCCTAGTGCCGACCTCAAATCATTCAACTGTGCCTGTTTTTCTTTCTTTCCCCTAAGGCTTGTCCCCTGCTTCTAAACAGCCCCCTCCACCACACCAACTTCAGGAATACGCTTTGCTCTTAGAAACGGAGGCTTTTATTGTTTTTTGGTCCACACAGGGAATTTCACATTATCTCACAGGGAAGGGGCCCGGTGGGTCATGTGCAGCGCTTCCCACAGGCCTAGCACAGCTAATCAGGCCTGCACAGGGACGCAGGGAGAACTGGGACCTTCAAAAACCAGAGGAGCAGGGGAGGGCTGCAGGTGTTGGGGTCACGTCTGGCTTGCCTCAGTTTCCCCACTGGGCACAGGAGGGTGAAGTCTGAGGGTCTTGGGAAAGCAAATTTAGTCCTTCAGAATGCCTGCAGTATTTTAAAGCCCAGTGCGCCCCAATACTTTTGGGGCAAACAAAACACAAAACGCTTTGTTTTCTTTCATTGAAACTGCCCGCAATTTCCACGGGTTCACAAACCACAAACTGGTGTGAAAGAGATGAAGAAATTGGAAGCTCCTTGGGGCCAGCCTTTCCCACAGCCCACTGGGAGATGCACAGCCTCACTATCCCAAGGACAGCCATGTTCCCTGCCTGGTGTGTCAATCCTAGGAAGGAGGCATGATGGGTGAGGGGGAGCATAGATAGCACAAACCTGCCATCCTAGCCCTTGGGAAGCTGGGGCAGGAGGATTGCAGCAAGTTCCAGGCCAGAGAGAGACACAAAGAGATGACCAGTTTCAAAACACAAAACAACACAATGAAACCCCCAGACCCCACACAGGGATGCTGATGCAATTCGGGGAGCTGACACCCTTGGGTGCTCAGTAGCCTGCTTCCTCCTGGCAGTAGGCCAGGTACTCTGGGGTCTCGCCTTGGCTGTCACCCCCGGCGGGAGCCCCGTCAGCTGCAGAGCCCTGTGGGCAATACTTGGGGTCGTATATCTGCCGCCCCAGTCCGAAGACCTGGCCGCTCTGGTTGGCGCCCTGCGTGTAGCCCATCTGCAGGGACATGGAAGAGTTGTCACACTTGTCTGTGCCCAGCTTGGTGTCATAGATGTGCCTCCGGGTCCCTGGAGCTGTCATGCCCACCTGGAGATGGGAGACATCAGGGTAGACAGGGAAAGTGGAGCTCAGAAGAAGAACACTTAATCCCCTCAACCTTCTTTTTTTTCTTTAAGACTTGGTCTCGCCGGGTGGTGGTGGCGCACACCTTTAATCCCAGCACTTGGGAGGCAGAGGCAGGCGGATTTCTGAGTTCGAGGCTAGCCTGGTCTACAGAGTGAGTTCCAGGACAGCCAGGGCTACACAGAGAAACCCTGTCTCGAAAAAAAAAAAAAAAAAAAAGAGAGACTTGGTCTCATGTAGCACAGACTAGTTAAACTGTGCGCATGCCCAGTTTATCGCATGCTGAGGCAAGAGGGCTGCTGAGAGCTCCAGGCTACTCTGGGCTACATCATCAGGCTGTCTCAAACCCAGCCCTGTGCACAAAAATAAAACGAAATACAACTTTTTGTCGACTTCTAAGCATCAATGTCCCACTTTCTCCTTGCCTGCTAGGAAACCCCTCCACCAGAAACAAACATCCCCCAAACTTCGGGGACATACCCAGTCAACGTAACAAAAAGGTTAGAGTATCAAGATGGGGGCGGGCATTTAGGGGAAACTGAGGCACAGAGTAGGGTTGTCACTTCTACAAGCACGCACAGTGAGAAAGAACCGGAGTTGAGGATAGAATCCCCCAGGGCTGCAGTGGGGTCACAGCCTGGGTGCCGGGGCGGGACCCACCTGGCTGGCACACTTGTTGGTGCCCATCTGGAGGCTGATGGTGCAGTGGTCCATGGGGGGCAGGATGAGGTTCTTGGGGTCATAGAGATGTCTTCTGGTGCCGTAGGCTGTCATGCCAGACTGGCTGGCACATTTGTTGGTGCCCATCTGCAGGGAGCAGTAGAGGGTTAGGGTGCTGCTGCCAGGCTCCAAATCTTCCCTGGAGTTCAAGGGGTCAGGGCCCTGTTCAGGCTCTGGGACTGACCTGCAGCCCGATGACACACTGGCCGGCCTTCATGGTGGCATCGTCAAAGTTCCTCTCCTGTTTCTCCGAGTATTTGACCCCGATGTCCACACCACTCTGCAGCCCCTTCGTCTTGGCCTGGATGGGGTTGAGGGGAGCCGACAGTGGATACAGCCAGCCTCCCAGGTGTCTGGCCCTACCCTGGAACTATAGGGACTTCTGAGCTCCTCCCTGCTTCCTGCACACTCCACATTTCCTCAGGCCTTGCTGGTCCTTCAGCCTTAAACACAGGTCTCACCTACCTCCCCAGTCTCTTGTTGAAAGGTGGTGGTAGGTCCCCGTCTCCCCACTTCTGACATTACGCAGAGTGACTTTTTTGTTTGATTGTTTGGTTTTTTGACACAGGGGCTCATGTGTAATCCTAGCTGTTCTGTAACTCGCTCTGTAGACCAGGCTGGTCTCGAACTCAGAAATCTGCCTCTGCCTCCCTAGCACTGGGATTAAAGGTGTGCAAGACCTTGCCAGGCCTGAGTGACCTGTGTTGGTTCCTTACTCCTTGACACCAGGTTCTCTATTTGGCACTAGGCTGCCACTAGGACCTTACCTTTCCCGCCAGCGCAAGCAGAGACACCTGCACCTGCGTCATATTCCCACTCTCGAACAGGTCATTGGCTTCAAACAGGTCCACAGGGTTCATGCCGTAGCTGACCATAGCCTTGATGAAGTTTGAGAGGTTTTCCAGCTGGGAGGGAAGGGAAGGGTGGTGAGCTGGGATCACTGACTACACAGGGGCTGGCCGAGTCCCCTGCTCCCCCTCTGCCCGCCAGCCCCTCACCTGGTGCCAATTCTGCATAGAGCGGTTGATTTTGGGGACAGAGCCCGGCTGCAGCTTGTTCATGAGTCTGGGAAGAGATGACCCAGGACCTTCCATTGGTGTCCTAACCTCAGCAAGCTCATGCATTTCCAGGAAACCTCAAGGCCTCTACCCAGACTCAGTTTCCCTTCACGCACCAAGCAAGCAATGCCACTGCTGCTGCGGGATGCTAGGAATGTAATCTTAAAGCATGGAGCTTTGGGGAAATGTAAGAATTTTGAATATAATTTTTTCCATGTGCACAACTGTGGAATATCCAAACATGTGCCTAGCACGCAAGACAGAGAAAATTCCAGAAGCATTAGCCACTGAAGCAGGAAAGAGAAGCCTAGGGCAGGAATGCTAATAGCTAGGACATGTAGAGAATGCAAGACAGCAAGAAAACACCGGGCTAGACAAAGATGGGACTAGAAACCAAGCAAAACAGCAAGAAAAGGCAAGGAGGGGCCAGACAGAGGGTTCAGGGGTGAAGGGTGCTAGCTGCTGCTGGAGTCCCTGGAATCAGTTCCCAGCACTCAGGGCAGACTTGCCAGCTCCGTGGATTGTAACGCCCTCTTCCAGCCTCTGTGGAAACTGCAATCATGTGCACATGGCGGGTGGAGGGGGACAGCACGCGCAGATGACAAAATAAAAATGAAGTAAATCATAAAGGGCTGGAGAGATGGCTCAGTGGTTAAGAGCACTGACTGCTCTTTCCAGAGGTCCTGAGTTCAAATCCCAGCAACCACATGGTGGCTCACAGCCATCTGTAATGTGATCTGGTGCTCTCTTCTGGTGTGTCTGAAGACAGTGACAGTGTACTCACATACATAAATCTTTTAAAAAAATAAAAACACAGTGAGCAAAGAGAGTGAACCTACAACATACAACAGCCAAGCATGGAGGAGAGCTCAGGGGCAATGTCTGTGTGAGCAGTGATGAACACTCACGTGCACAGGATAACCCCATCTTTCAGACCCTTCTGGAAGTCAGGGCCAATGGAGAGGCCCGTGAGTCCCTCTATCCAGCTTCGGAGTTCGGCTTCCTTCTGGGGGTCATATTTGGACAGGAGCTGGAGAAGCAAAGAGCTGGGGCTGAGGTGGGTGCAGACACGCCCTGCCGGAGTGCCCCCATAGATGAGGCCAGAGACAGCCAGGCAAGAAGAGTGTCAAGAAACCCAGACTGCCGCCACCTCCCTAAAGCAGGATGACACAGGTCACCTTGGTGTGCTGGGGATGAAACCAACACTTAAGTCAGCACTGTACACCAGCTGAGCTGCTGGCCCAGTGCCAGGGCACTTCCTATAGGCAGAGGGCTTCGCATGGGGACAGCATCTAGGAAGTACTCTACGGACACTGTAGAGGCCTGTTCTTTTTCATGGCTGAGCAGCGTTCCAGCTGGCCAGCCTCCCCAGGAAGCCTGTCCCTCTGTACTCACTTCCCATGGACACTCACTCTCCACCTCTTGCTGCACCCGCATGGAAGCCCGGGTGCTCCTTCTACAGACTTCTCTCCTGCTCTCATGGCAGCAGGAGCTGCCCCGTGTGGGCCCTCAGCTCTCCGGGCCTCAGTTTCCCCTCTTTCTTTCTTTCTTTCTTTCTTTCTTTCTTTCTTTCTTCCTCCTCCTCCTCCTCTTCTTCCTCCTCCTCCTCCTCCTCCTCCTTCTTCTTCTTCTTTTTTTGAGACAGGATTTCTCTGCCCTGTCCTAGATCTCACTCTGTAGACCAGGCTTCAGACTCAGAGATCCACCTGCCTCTGTCAGGATTCAAGGAGTGCAGCCGTTCTTGTTTCTTTTTCTTTCCTTAATTTTTATTTTATGTGCATTAGTGCTTTGTCTGTATGTGTGTCTGTGTGAGGGTGTCAGATTTTGGAGTTACAGACAGTTGTGAGCTGTCATGTGGTTGCTGGGAATTGAACCCGGGACCTTCGGAAGAGCTGTCAGTGCTCTCACCACCTCTCCAGCCCCCAGTTTCCTTTTCTTATCTGGATGATTTGTGTAAGAGTTTGGTGTCCGGAGCCCCCTTTCCCTTTCCTGTCTTTGAAGTGGGATTACCTGGGTGCCAGAGCAGCTGGGCCAGCTGTTCTCATGACTAGGAGCCACTCTGTCCCACAGGAATAGGCAGGGACAGCTCAGAGGGGAGCAAGGGTCTGCTGGGGACGCCAGGCATGCCTGGTCCAGCTGTGCCACGTCCCTAGCCACTCCAAAGACCAAAGAGGAGGGCAGGATCCCAGTTCCCGCTGCTGAGGCCACCTCCCTCCCCCACTGCCCTTCAGTGCATTCCTGCCCTGCCCGCTGGCCACAAACTACCAGGAATGCGGTGGCCTCCCGGGTCTAAATCAAGACCAGCTGTTCCCTAGTGGCCAGGCTCCTCAACCAGACTGAACAAAGCCCCACCGGATATGGACCAGCCAAGGGGTAAACTGAGGCAGGTAGGTCAGGCAGAAAAGTCTCTGGGTCTCCCCTCCCAGTGGAAGATGCAACCCTTCTGTGACCCCTGCAGCCTGGTGGAGGCCATACCATTCCCAGCTCCCCAGTCAGAGGGAATCTGAGACCTCACGCCCTGTGTAGCAGGTGCTGACCTGTCCCTGGCCCCACCCAGCCCCTAAAGCTCTATCCTTTGGGCTTTCCTGATTCTTTCACTTTCTCTGTTCCAGGGAGGTGTCCAGCCCACTCTGCAGGAATTGGGCAGGGCCGTCAGATTTGCACATGCTGTTTGTCTCTGGGGAGCTAGAACAACCTCTCTGAGCCCAGGGTGGGAACTGAAGTAGCAGCTTGTCTCAAGCAGGCTGAGGATAGCAACACGGGTGACATGAGGCTGGTCCCCGTCGGAGGTGGGTCGGACTGGTAGCTTCAGCGTGCCTAGGCAGGTCTCTTGGCTTTGCTGACTGTGAAATTTGCGTTCCCAGGTACCAGGTGTGTGTGTGTGTGTGTGTGTGTGTGCGCTCTTGGCGGATCTATCGGGAAGGTTTCAGGATGTCAGGCCTGAACCCCGAGTCTGAGATCAGCGTCTCTCTCACCAGCTCAGCACACCTTGCTGTGTGACTCTCCAGATGTCCCTCTGAAACTGGTGACGTCCCTGTCCTCCCGCGTTTGAGGTCCCTCTCAGCGAGCCCTTTCCCAGGGGTGTGTGTGTGTGTGTGTGTGTGTGTGAGTCCAGGAAGGGGGCCACACCCTGTTAAGAGAGCCACCGGCCCCGCCCCCTTCCCGGTCCCCAACTTAAGTGGTTAGATGAAACGGGAAGTTTCGACAGGTACTGGAGATGGGGCCTCGGGGGGCGCTGTCAGAGCCCCGGCTCGCTCGCGTGCTCGCTTTCTCTCCCCCGGACCTTAACTCACATCCTCCGAGGAGCTCAGAGTGCGGGCAGCCGGGGCGGGGCTGGAGGGGACACCCGGAGATGCGGATGCGGTGGGTCCCCAGCCTTCCAGCCTCCGCAGCTCCCCACGGCACCCCAGACCCCCGGATGTCAGGGCAAAGCAGAGCCAGGCTGGCCGCATCGGGCTGTGGGGCCCCGCGCCCACTCACCCGGTTCTTGACCTCGGCCGAGAGCCCGTAGGACGGGCCCTTGTTGAACTGCGTGGAGCTCATGGCGCGGGACCCCGGCGCGGGACAGGCGGACCGGAGGGACCGGCAGAGGGACCGGCTGCGGCGGACGGCCCGGGACAGGGTTGGGCGCCGCCCCCGCCGCCGATTGGCTGGCCGAGCAAATGTCCTTATAAGGTGTGGAAGCGCCGAATTCCTGTGGCCGCGACTTCCTGAGCCCCCTCGGCCGCCGGGACCCCCGCCCGCCGGAGCCACCCAGCATCCCGGCCGGTCAGGAGGGGCCCACCGCTCCCCCTGGAGCTGCGGGAAACTGAGGCAGCGAGGGGCACGGGCCTCCGACCGAGTCCAGATGTCAGTTCACTCCTCCCGTCCCATAGTGACACATAGGGAACTGTTGGGTGGGACCCTCGAGCCTAAAATCTGGGTTGGAGCCTTCTCTGCCACTTCCCGCGCTACCAGCATCTGGTTCCCTCTCGGAGCCTCTCATAGTGGGAGGGGCGGGTATGGACAGGAATCCGGGCAGGCTCCTCAGAGGAGGACGCCTCGGGAGCTGGAGCATTGACGGATGTGTAGGAGTTTCCCAGTCCAAAACGAAACGGCTTTCTGGTAGAATACCAAGCGCAGAATATGGAGGGCGGGAGAAGGGAATCGTTTGGGGGTGGGGTGGGGCTCCCAGAAGGGCTGAGAGTTGCTGGCTGACCGGGTGAGGGTGGGGAGGCCGAGGGTGAGGTCGTGAGATGTTCTGGGGATGTCCTGCTCTACAGTGGGGTTTTCAGTCAGTGCCTGAGCTCAGCCTGCATCTGGAGATGGACTGAATGCTCCTCCTCTGTCAACCCAGAGCCGGGAGACTGGGCCTCCAGCGTCAGGAGTTCAAGGTCGTCCTTGGCTACAGACAACGGTTCCAGGTCAACCTGGACTACAGGAGACCCTACCTCAAAACACAGACACAGGGAAACAAGTTAGTCCCCCTGTGGTTGTCACTGATTCCTGAGGGGCTGGGGTCCTGCCCCACCCACAGGCAGACAGATCACAGAACACAGGCAGACAGATCCAGGACTAGACTCCCTCTTGAGGGTCTCAAAGAACGCTCACGGCTTGACAGAGAGGCCTCGGCCATGGGGTGGAAGTGTGAGTAGGAGTTGGATCCATCGGAAGGGTGGCTTTCTTCCCACGTCTCTAGGTTTCTGTGGTTTGAACCAATTCTTCCTCTCTGGGTCCTGCTGGAATTTTCGAGTTTGTGTAGTGGAGCTCTGGACTCCAGATAGTCCCGAGCTGTGGACAGTGCAGGTTCCTGTGACCAGGCAGGAAGCCCAGGTGAAGACCTTTTAGGAATAGTTAAGGAAAGCACTTGTCAAAGCGGCCATGCTGTGTGGGTACGCACCAGGCTTAGCAGGTATCAGGGTGTCCAGGTCACTGTGCTGAGCTCCGTGACAGCAGCCGCAGGTGCCACACCCAGGTTCTCTGCAAGAGCGGCTAGTGCTCTAACCACTGACCCGTCTCCCCAGCCCACCCTCCCGCCTTTGCCTTTCTTCTCCGTCCGCAGCGCGCCTGCATCCGCATACACAGCCCTCACACCCTCAAATACGGTGTTCGCAGCCTTCTGTGACTCCGGCTGCGGGGGACCCGCCGCCCCCATCTGGCCGCTGCCAGTACTACACGCCCATCGTGCGCAGACAGGCCTCATAAACAATGAGTGAATTAGTCTAGCTTCCGACATTTTCTTAGCTGCGGCTATTAATTTGAACTAAAACACTGTGTGTTGCGAAGTAACGCCATATATCTGTTTCCACCCAGCAGCAAGGCCAGTCACTCCCTCTTGTCCCACTCCTGAGCTCAGAAAAGCTTTCTGGGCTTTGAAGTGGTTGAAAAAAAAAACCAAAAAAATAAAATAAAGAAAACTATTCCATGCCATGTAGCCTGTGTGTCACATTCAAACACTGACCCGGCTGCTCTGTGACTGACGATCCCAGAAACAAAAACGCAGACACCACAGACCCCAAGATCCTGGGTTTCTAGCAGCCTAATGTAGAGCTCCATCCCGAGACCGCAAACGAATGGAATGTTTACATTTAAATCCCGTGTAGTTGGGTGGTGGTGGTGGCACATCTTTAATCCCAGCACGCTGGAGGCAATGGCAGGCGGTTCTCTGTGAGTTCGATGCCACCTGCTCTACAGAGTGAGTTCCAGGACAGCCAGAGCTACACAGAAGCCCTGTGTTGTAAACAAAAACAAAGCTCCTCCTTCCTTCCCCATTTCACTGTGTGACACTAAGTATTTATCAGCCCTCTCTGGACTCTAGGCCCCTTGTCTGAAAATTAGCTTTTGCAAAGTGCTCCTGTGCGGCTGGACTAGATGTCAAAAATCTTAAGAATTTTGCCTCTAGCTGCTGGAAGCTGGCGGGGCCCCAGGATGACTCTTGATGCCAGGACCACTCCTCCCCAGGGACAGAACCTGTCTTCGGTGCCTGGGGTCTGGGTGGTGGTGCTTCTGCTGTGGCTGTGAGATCACTGCTCGGGAGGCAGAGGTATGAGAATCACTGTAAATATGAGGCCAGCCTGGTCTACACAACATGTTCCAGGACAGCTAGGAGTACAAGGCAAACCACAAACTCAAAAAGTAAGTAAGGTAAAATCCCACCCTCAGTCAAGCCTTGCCTGCTCTGGTCAGGAGTGATATGACTGGCTGAAGTGTTGGCCTATGCTGGACGGGATCCCATTGCTTCTCCACGAAGATCAGGCTAGGTTTTGCTGCTCGGGTCACCTAGAGATGTTTTGTATTTTCTAACAAGTGACGAGTGTATTCCATAATAGTTTCAAGACTGGTGCATTTATTAGGTGCCTACTGTATGCAAGGTGTTCTGGGCAACAGCAGATGGTGACTCTGGGGTATCTGAAAACTAGGAGGGAGGGGTTCCCTTCACTCAGCCCGTGAAGCGCCCCTCCCTTTCCTGGCCGCCCAGTCCGGATGCAGAGACACTCGGCTTGCTGCATCACACAGACGCTCCTAGTGCTTCCCTCACGCTACGGGAATACAGTAGGTACACAAGGCTGGAGCTCGGTGCGTGCGCAGGCCGCTCTGCTGCATCCTAAAAACAGACAGCTTCCTCCGCGTGCGCAGGAGCCGCTCAGTACATGCCCCGTCCAGCAGGATTGTGCGGGAACGCGGCAGGAAAACAGGAAAGGAGACCTCACAAGGTGGACTGCGTGATTTTGAGATGAAACAAAATATGGAACGCTTCACGAATTTGCGTGTCATCCTTGCGCAGGGGCCATGCTAATCTTCTCTGTATCGTTCCAATTTTAGTATATGTGCTGCCGAAGCGAGCACGAGTAATCTGTGAGTGTCTCAGATATTTAAAGCCAGAGAAACAAATAACTTTACACATAGAGTAGTTGTGCTTTTTTTTTTGTGTGTGTGTGTGTGTGTTTATTTAAAGTGATGTCTTTACCCATAAAAAAGAAAGGTCACCATTTGTAACAACGCTCAGAATAATTATCTATGCGCCTAAAATCTCACATATTACTTAATATAGCCGCCTGGGAAAACTGGCACCAGCAAAGCCTTCTGGGAAGCCATATGCAAATTAGACAATCACTACGAGGCTCCGCCCGTCAGTGGTAGCCGGGCCAGATCAGCGTGGAATCCGCGATGTCTGTGCGACGGTGAAACCGTACGCTAGTAAGCTACCCCCATGGAGCTCCGCCCCTCAGCTCAGCAGCCGCTAATGAAAACGTTATGCTAATGAGCAGTGTTAGGAAGCCCTGCCTCCTCATCGGACCCCGCCCCTAAGTGAGGCTGTGGCCATAGTGAAGCCCTACGTAAATAGGCCTTGCTCCATACGTCTCCGCCCCCTCTAATCCTCCGCTAATAGAAAACCAGATGCAAATAAGACTGGCAACGTTGCCCCGCCCGCTACTTTTGCAATGCTTTAGCACGTTTCTGAGACCACGCCCCACAGCTCCACCATGGATCCCTACATAAACGAAACGGATTTTACGCGACACTGCTTCTCAGTGCTTAAGATAGAGCTCTAGGTGGAAGGGATGCTAAGAGCACTGACTGCTCTTCCAGAAGTCTTGAGTTGAATTTCCATCCTCCATTATGGTGGCTCACAACCTTCTTCTGGTGTGTCTGAAGACAGCTACAGTGTAGTCACATACATAAAATAATTTTTTAAAGATAAAGCTCAATGCAAATGAGTCGTGACACACGACTCCGCCCCAGGTCATGCCACGGTACGTGGGGGTCAATTTATGCAAATGAGCCGGGCTCCTCTCTAATCCGCTCCGTGTAGCCTCGGCAAACTGCAAGCCCGATGCAAGTGAGACCGGCCAAAGCTTGCAGGCGCACTGGGAAAATAAACTGAACTCCATGTTACCCTGCCCTTTAGCAGTGAGGCGTCTGGGACGAAGTTTGAGAAGTAGCCAGGCTCCGCCCCCTTCTTGTGGTGCCAGCCTTCCGGTCCTGAAGCCCAGCCTCCTCGGGCGGCCGTGGCGATCCCAGCGTGCCCCGCGCACGGGTGGCGCTCTGGCCCGGCGCTCTCGCCGGCGTCGCGGGCCGGACGGACGCGAGCAAAGGGGCAGGCGGCGGCGGCCGGGGGCGGCGGGGGGGATCCGGCGGCCGGGACGCGGCGGGGGACAGCCGGCGGCCGCCGGGGTGACGCGGGGCGGTGATGTCGGAGCACGCGGCAGCCCCTGGGCCCGGGCCCAACGGCGGTGGCGGTGGCGGCGCGGCGCCCGTGCGCGGCCCGCGCGGCCCCAATCTCAACCCCAATCCGCTCATCAACGTGCGCGACCGGCTCTTCCACGCGCTCTTCTTCAAGATGGCCGTCACCTACTCACGCCTCTTCCCACCTGCTTTCCGCCGTCTCTTTGAGTTCTTCGTTCTGCTCAAGGTGACCTCTGACCCCTGACCTCTGACCCCAGCTGTCATCCACCTGCCCACCCCTGCAGCTTTGCCACTTGACCCCTGATGCCTGGATACCCTGATGCCAGTCTTCTCACAGATGCTCTGGTCCCCACTTCCTCAGCTCTCAGGCCCTGCCTCCTGACCTTTGGCCTCTGACTCTGCCACTTGGGAGCCTAGGCCCCAAAAGTTTCCACCCAAGACCAGAGCC